CACCTGTAATCCCAGCTACTCAAGAGGCTGAGGCAGGAGAATCACTTGAACCTGGGAGGCAGAGGTTGCAGTGAGTGGAGATCAGGCCACTGCACTCCAGTCTGGGTGACAGAGTGAGACTCCATCTCAAAAAAATAATAAGTAAATAAACATTAAAAAATAAAAAGAAATAGAAATAACACTCTAAACCAGTAATGGAGGCCAGGCACGGTGGCTCATGCCTGTAATCCCAGCACTTTGGGAGGACAAGGTAGGTGAATCCCCTGAGGCCAGGAGTTTGAGACCAGTCTGGCCAACATGGTGAAACCCTGTCTCTACAAAAAATACAAAAACTAGCCAGGCGTGGTGGCACACGCCTGTGATTCCAGCTACACAGGAGGATGCAGAACGAGAATTGCCTGAACCTGGGAGGTGGAGGTTGCGGTGAGCCAAGATGGCACCACTGCACTCTAGCCTGGGTGACAGAGTGAGACTCTGTCTCAAAATATATATATAATACATTGAAAAATAAAACAGTAACGGGAATACTAACACCACCTCCAATTCAGATCATTCGTATCTCAAAAGAGCTTTCAAATCAGCAGTGTGAGGAGGGAATACCTGGACTAGGATTCCGATCCTGACTCTATGGCTAAAGCTGTGGACTCTCTGAGCCTCAGGTATCTCCTTTATCAATACCAGGGTGCCCTCCAAGGTCCCTTTCGGGTTTAAGGTTGTGCAGACCCAGAGCCCCACTCTCTGTGTCAGGATGAGCCAGGGGAGGGCCCGCCTTCTCACCCGGTTCTCCACAATGGCTTGGCTGTGCTTTCCAAAGAGGAGTTCTAGAGAGGCCTGGATGAATGATTTCAGGCCCATGGTGGGCAAGTACTCATAATCCAGGGAGGGATCCTGTGAAATCTGTAGTCGGGTCTTCTGCACCACGAGAGAAATCCAGGGATGGCCTTCATTTGTCATGCAGACTGTGAGGAAAACCACAGAGGAAGCTCCAGATGCCTGGTTTGGGCCCCTGGGGCTGAGCTCTGCAGACAGCCCACAGAAAAGTCTGTCCTGGACTCCGTGGGGCTGTGGGAAGGTGCCTGTGAAAACACAACTTTCCCTTTTCTTTTCTGCTTGATGAAAACAATATGCTGTTAGTGAACGTGTATCATTTTTGTCTTTTTAAAAAAGACAAATGAAACCTATGCCATTTTAAAAGTTAAAAATTATACAAGCCCGGGATCGGTGGCTCAAGCCTATAATCCCAGCACTTCGGGAGGCTAAGGTGGGTGAATCACTTGAGTTCAGGAGTTCAAGACCAGCCTGGGCAACATGATGAAACCCTGTCTCTATAAAAACATACAAAACAGCCAGACATGGTGGCCAGCGCCTGTAGTCCCAGCTACTCAGGTGCCTGAGGCAGGAGGATGGTTTGAGCCCAGGAGGCAAAGGGTGGCAGTGAGCTGAGATCTTGCCACTGCACTTCTGCCTGAGCAACAGAGTGAGGCCCCATCTCCAAAAACAAACAAAAATAATAATAATAATAATAATAATATGCAAAATGAGAGTTATAGGTAGATGAAGCTAAATAAAGCTAACCCTGACTTTCACAGCGGGGAGCCCCAGTTGCATATTAGAAGGCTCAATTTGGAGAACCATTCTTGGTTCAAGAACAGGAAGAGAAAGAGAGAGAGAGGAGGTAAGAGGCTG